GGTTCTGGAACAGGACAGCAGTCCAGAGGAGAAGCAACAGCAGCATCAATGGTAGCCCCAGAAAAAGGAAGAGGAGAAGCAGCAGCATCAATGGTAGCCGCAGAAAGAGGAAGAGGAGAAGCAGCAGCAGCATCAATGGTAGCCGCAGAAAGAGGAAGAGGAGAAACAGCAGCAGCATCAATGGTAGCCACAGAAAGAGGAAGAGGAGAAGCAACAGCAGCATCAATGGTAGCCGCAGAAAGAGGAAGAGGAGAAGCAACAGCAGCATCAATGGTAGCCGCAAGAAGAGGAAGAGGAGAAGCAACAGCAGCATCAATGGTAGCCTCAAGAAGAGGAAGAGAAGAAGCAACAGCAGTATTAACAGTAGCCGTAAAAAAAAGGAAGAGGAGAACCCACAGGGGGAATAAAGAAATTATAATAAAGACGCCCAAAACAGCTACACAAGACAAGCCATAACCTACAGTTTTATGTGGATAAGGATCATCCTCATCCTATACATCACAGCAGCATCAACGGTAGCCACAGGAAAACAAAAGGGGAGAAGAAGCAGCAGCATTAACTGTAGCCACAGGAAAACGAAAGGGGAGAAGAAGCAGCAGCATCAACGGTTGCTGCAGGAAGAGAAAGAGGAGAAGCAACAGCAGCATCAACTGTAGCCACAGGAAAACGAAAGGGGAGAAGAAGCAGCAGCATCAACTGTAGCCACAGGAAAGCGAAAGGGGAGAAGAAGCAGCAGCATCAACGGTTGCTGCAGGAAGAGAAAGAGGAGAAGCAACAGCAGCATCAACTGTAGCCACAGGAAAACGAAAGGGGAGAAGAAGCAGCAGCATCAACGGTAGCCACAGGAAAACGAAAGGGGAAAAGAAGCAACAGCATCAACTGTAGCCACAGGAAAACGAAAGGGGAAAAGAAGCAGCAGCATCAACGGTAGCCACAGGAAAACGAAAGGGGAGAAGAAGCAGCAGCATCAACGGTTGCTGCAGGAAAACGAAAGGGGAAAAGAAGCAGCATCATCAACGGTAGCCACAGGAAAACGAAAGGGGAAAAGAAGCAGCAGCATCAACGGTTGCTGCAGGAAGAGAAAGAGGAGAAGCAACAGCAGCATCAACTGTAGCCACAGGAAAACGAAAGGGGAGAAGAAGCAGCAGCATCAACGGTAGCCACAGAAAAACGAAAGGGGAAAAGAAGCAACAGCATCAACTGTAGCCACAGGAAAACGAAAGGGGAAAAGAAGCAGCAGCATCAACGGTAGCCACAGGAAAACGAAAGGGGAGAAGAAGCAGCAGCATCAACTGTAGCCACAGGAAAACGAAAGGGGAAAAGAAGCAGCATCATCAACGGTAGCCACAGGAAAACGAAAGAGGAAAAGAAGCAGCAGCATCAACTGTAGCCACAGGAAAACGAAAGGGGAAAAGAAGCAGCAGCATCAACGGTTGCTGCAGGAAGAGAAAGAGGAGAAGCAACAGCAGCTACCGTTGATGCTGCTGCTGTTGATGCTACTGTTTCTCCTCCACCTGTGGCTGCTGCTGCTTCTGTTTCTCCTCCTCCTGTGGCTGCTGATGCTGCTGTTTCACCTCCTCCTCCTCTTCTTCCTTCTTCATCGTTTTCTTCCATGTTCACCCTCAATAGGTCAGTTGGTTCTGGTTTACAGATAGGTGGCACCCACCAATCCAGATTCAGCAGACTTCTATTTAATCACTTTTTACAACTTGCTTGTTAGGGGGTATTGAGTCTGATAATTGTTTCTTCCAAAATGAAGCCCCGAAACACACACGGAGAGTCAGCTTTCTGATTATATAACATCAGCTGTTGGATTGCCATTGTGACATTTTAAACAAAATTGTAAAACATTGTACTCTTTACAGTCAGATATTGAAATATTCTGATGATTCCTTTGCAGAAAAGTCCATGTTTTTATGACATAGCTTCATTTTTTTAGCTTTTCTTTTTAAACAACTATATAATAAAACTACCTTGGCTCCCAGGTTGACCTAATCTAAAATGGGTACCAGGTAAAGCATGGGAAGTAAAGGTGGTCAGTCTAATGTTGATGACATCACCCACCAAGAGCTGATTGATTTATGAAAATACAAGTATAGCAATGCAAAGATTCAACAGCATTAAAAGTCTATGGCTAAGCACCAGTGAGGAAATCAAAGTTAAAATTTTGAGAACATGAATCTTTCCTGTAACAACTTACTGATGTGAGTGATGGACTATCTCCCAGTCCAAAAGAAAGAAAATAGGGACTTTTTGAGCTGAATACCATGGAAAGAGAAGAGATACTGACATTTTGAAAGATCTTAACATCAAAGAAGATTGGCTAATAAACAGCATCTTGTCTCTGAAGCTGAAATAGTTTGGTCATAACAAGTGCCATAGAAGATTGGAGGAAAAAAAAGCAGAAGGCATGGTACCAGGAAGGAAGGACAGGGGCCAACCAACACAACGATGGGTGCAGGATATAAGTAACTCCTTGAATATAAAGGTACACAAGGCAGAAGAGCTGGCGAGAGACCAAGTTTCTTTCAAGCAGACCCTGATGTGAGCAAAGGACCTGCTACATGATGATGAACATAATTTACCTAATGCATTGCTGGCATAGAAAAGCGCTTTGCTTACCTTATATAATTGCATTATTAATCTTATCTTATCTTTATATCTTCCTTGTCTCTCCTGTGTCCTTCAATCCCGGCAGAATCCTAAAGTGCTTCACAAGTACCTTGCCTTGTACGCCACCCATCTGATCAAGAACAATAACTCTCTAGCTGCACTGCAGTTGTATGCAAAGTATGGAACCATTGCCAATCCTCAGGTAATTTCATATTTTTTTTATTGACTAAAGTGTTATCAACAGTTATGAGACCAAGAAATTATGCCATTTTGGGTTATCCTAATTAAAAGCAAGCAAAGAATCTCTAGATAGATACTGAAAGCCCTAAATACTCCTGGCAAAGGTTGTGGATCCGGTCCAATGGAGCCACCCTACAATAGAAGCTGCGGGGAGACTGGCAGCAACCTTACATGCATCGCCCGCTTTGTAACCCAGACAGGACCTAATGTTTAGCATGGCTGATCTAGAAGGTAGAAGAAGAAGGCACAAGTATTTCAGTTTCCAAAATAAGATGCTTCTTACGAGCCGGTTTTTCCTTGATGTTTGGATCCTTTAGAATGACACAGATGTTTGTCTTCTTGGTCCGTGATTGCCGTGTAGATTCCAAGGCCCCATTGTAGGGAAAACAAGAACAGACCCACTGCCTACCCAAAAGCATGTGGTAAGAGTCAACTAATTAAGAGCTTCCTTCGAAGTGAGAGGCAAGGAACCAACAGTCTGCGTACATATGAGTCAGATCTGTAAAACAGATGCACACGCTACACTCCAGTTCTGAAACGGGACTAAAGTCCAGAAATGGACGAACAACCAGAACTTTCCACCAGTGGTTACCGCTGGTAAACGTGAAGAAGAAGAAGAAAGAAAGTCCATGGTATTCTAACAATCATCATCATCATAGTTAGGGTAACAGGTTCTTTTAACTAGATTTCTTCATATTACTGTCTGCTGGAAATACTCCATCCAAAGTAATATGTTTCTTTGTTTGTGTTTATGTTTACTCAACCGATCAACATCATGGCACATGGATGTAACCCATAAGTGCTCCGTTCTTCTTCTAACTCAAGCCTGAGTCTGAAGAATCTCAGTGCAGAGCACAAATTCTGTTGATGAGGATCCTGAAAATACTTTGGGTAGATTTGTAACTTCAAATTTTGCCCGGGCAGTGCCATTAAGCTACTCTTTTCGATTTCCAACTGCCAAGATATTTTTTTACGTACGCAACAATACACAAGAGCGTCTTACTACCCAAAGACCAGAGGGAAATTATTAGATGTCCAGGTGAAAAACTTCCAGCCTTTACCAGGGCCTGAACCCAGAACCTCTAGTTCTTGAGGTGGATGCCATGCCTTGAGATCATGCAGCCCCCTCATCCAAAGTAATAGATTTTGTCATAGATTTTTGTCTGTCATAGTTTTTTGTAATAGGTAGGTTTTCTAACCTACACATTTTGGCAGGGCCATAGCCTTATAACTTAATCCATGCAATTCCAAATGCCTTGGCATTTGTTATATTCACATAGGACCTACTGTTTACCCCTTATCTGAGAAGACTTGCTGTCCAGTACCAATAGCTAGAATGAGGGTTGTAGTTGATTCATTTGATACCAGTGTGAAATACTCATGTAAAAGTTTCTAGGCCTGAGCTGGGATGTGAATATTGTATCTTCTGAGAACAGAGCAGCTGGAACATGTCTAACCACTGAAACAAAATTATGGAAAAAGAGGCACAGAGAGACAGTGTGAGAAGACTCTTAGCAGCCTTTTGTCATGGCATGGAAGGGTGTCAGCACATCTACTGATACAAGCTGTTGGAGATTTCAAGTTGTGAAGAAGCATGATTGCCCATGCCAGTCAGCAGGCACTTGATGAGGATGATGATGATCTTCTGAGGGCTCCCCCACCTTCTTTTTCCTACCCACCCTCGCCCTCTTGTCTATTTTATACACAATGAATTAGATCTGTCATACAAAAGATGAGATGAACAGTGAATCTTGAAACAGGCATGTTGAATGTTGAATTAAGAATCGAAATTACAGCACTCGGGACACTCCCATAAGTTCTCAGTCCCCATCTTCAGCAGCAAGGGAAGAGTTACAATTCTAATTGTACCAGTAACCGTCTAACTGTATATCCATCTCATCCTTTCCCTGAGTATTGAGCGTCGGCCAGATCCCCTGGTAACTACTCGCAGCGCCATTCTTTACACATAAGTTGTTTTAGGATTGTTGTGCATTTGTAAAGATTGTTGTACATATGTAATTATAGGATAATTACACATAAGTTGTTTTAGGATTGTTGTGCATTTGTAAAGATTGTTGTACATATGTAATTATAGGATAATTACACATACGTAGTTCTAGGATTTTGAGGCAAAATTTTGGGATAGAGGAAGACAATAAGAGAAGATTCTTGACAGTCTTGTTGCATGGCATGGAGGTGTGTTGGAACACGAACTGATACATGCTGCAGGAGATCCTACATTATGATTACCCACGCCAGTTGGCAAGGCACCTGATGATGATGAAGTTCTAGGATTGTTGTACATATGTAAGGATTATTGTACATATGTAAGGATTGTTGTTCATTTGTAAGGATTGTTGTACATATGAAAGGATTGTGGTACATACATAATTATAGAATAATTACACATGTAATTACAGGATAATTACACACGACTAGTTCTAAGATTTTTGTACATATGTATTTCTAGGATTACCATGTATATGTAGTTCTGGTATTATTAGATATGTTTATTCTTGAATAAGAATTGTATGTAAATTCTAGGATTATTACACATATGTAAATTCTGGAATTATAATCTACATGTAAATTCTAGGATTATTACACATATGTAAATTCTAGGATTATTACACATATGTAAATTTTAGAAATATTGCACATATGTAAATTCTAGGATTATTGCACATCTGTAAATTCTAGGATTATTACACATATGTAAATTTTAGAAATATTGCACATATGCAAATTCTAGGATTATTGCACATATGTAAATTCTAAGATTATGACACATATGTAAATTCTAGGATTATGACACATTATGTAAATTTGAGGATTATTACACATATGTAAATTCTAGGATTATGACACATATGTAAATTCTAGGAATATGACACATATGTAAATTCTAGGATTATGACACATATGTAAATTCTAGGAATATGACACATATGTAAATTCTAGGATTATGACACATATGTAAATTCTAGGATTATGACACATATGTAGTTATTTGGTTGTGTGCTTGTGCTCCATTGGGTGATGAATGCCAGAAGAAAATTAGAAGAAAACCAAACGTACCCCTGGAAGTTTCTGCCATAGAACAGACTGTACCCACAAGCTAGAAGAGAGAGTAAAGACAGGTCACATTATGGGATTTTTTCTGCAGTGTGAGAACTTGGGCAAGTCATCGAGTGCCAACACCTCCCAGCATGACGAGTTTGAAACCATGCTGCTGATAGCTCACTATTATGCTACCAGAAGTGCGGCTCTGGCACAGCCCTCACTGGAGAGCATCGCTGGCAAGTTATCAGTCTCCCTTCTGCGGCACACAGATGTGGTGCCGGCTGATAAAGCTTTCTATGAAGCTGGTATGCTGTGTAAGGTAGGCCACCTGTGTCATTGTTTGTCTGTGATATTGGACGCATGATGTTAGGCTCATATTTGTATTGACCAGTCAGCTTCCTGTAGGGTGATGTAGTCAACATTTTACCAGCCAATGTTCTTCCTAGGACATTTTCATCTTCTTCTTTTGTGCCCTTTATCCCACAGTGAAGCATAGGCCAATGGATCTGGCCGACGCTCGACACTCAGGAGAAGGGGGAGACGGATATACAACCAGACAGTTACTGGTACCATCGGAATTTTAACTCTTTGCTTGCTACTGAAGAATGGGACGGATCGATTATGGGAGTGTCCCAAGTGCTGTGATGTCGATTCCTAATTCAACATTTAACATTCAACTATGATTTCACTTCCCCATATGGGTTCCAGGCATATTTTAGTGGGGAAAAAAAGAATAGATCCACTGCCCTCCTATAAAGAATGTCATGAAGGCAACTGGTTAGGGTGTTTCCTTTGAATTCTCAGGGCAACTACCAGAAACACAAAGAACCAGCAGTCTGCATACAAATATGCCAGACCTGTAAAATGGATGTGCATGCAAAACTTACGTTTCTTGAGTCAGGACCAAAGTCCAGAAGTGAACGAACAACCAGAACTTTCAGCTAATGTACGCCAAGAAGAAGAAGATTTTACATGTGACTTCTTCTCCGTCTCCTGGAGTTTCTGTACTTCTTCTTGATCGGTGTCTTTACCTCTTGTTGTGATAACTTCTCCTTGATCAGTTTTACTTCTTGTTGTGATAACTTCTCCTTGATCAGTGTCTTTACTCTTGTTGTGATAACTTCTCCTTGATCGTTGTCTTTACCTCTTATTGTGATAACTTCTCCTTGATCAGTGCCTTTACTTCTTGTTGTGATAACTTCTCCTTGATCAGTGTCTTTACCTCTTGTTGTGATAACTTCTCCTTGATCAGTGTCTTTACTTTGTTGTGATAACTTCTCCTTGATCAGTGTCTTTACTTCTTGTTGTGATAACTTCTCCTGTGATCCTCTTTTGTGATAGTGTCTCCTTGATCAGTTTTACTTCTTGTTGTGATAACTTCTCCTTGATCAGTGTCTTTACTTCTTGTTGTGATAACTTCTCCTTGATCAGTGTCTTTACTTCTTGTTGTGATAACTTCTCACTCTGTGTTGTGATATCATCTCCTTGATGTCTGTATTCGATAGTAAGATTGTTAAAAGTTCGTTGCCTATTCTCTACAGAGCATTGCAGAACCAACTCCAGAATTTTTTGGCTGTTGTGGTTTTTCTAGGCAAATTTACATCCAGTAGTTCACTGTTGATATCTGGACGGTCAGTACAAGGCACAAGGCCGGCAGCTAGGATCGACCAAGGCACCTCAGCATTACGAAGCGCGTTAGCAACGCCTAAGCTACAGACGCCAACAGTAATATGATATATATGTTTAACTAGTGGATACATGGGAGTCACTGTGGCGTAGTGGCTAGATGCTTATGTGTGGATAGGAAGGTCATTGGTTCGCTCCCTGGCAGAGCCGCACTTTTTTTTTAAATTGACCTCGACTTCCAGGTTGACCCAGTCTTAAGTGGGTACCGGGTGCACTCCCAGGAAGTAAAAGTGGCCGGTATGATGCTGACCACATCACCCATCTTGTGTTGATTGGTCTATAAAAATATGTCTAGCCCTATATGCCCTAAACGCCTAAAGGCAGGGAAAAGGGACCTTTACTTCCTTTTTACTTAGTGGATACATACAAATATACATATATTTGGTGCTGTTTCTCTTTTCAGTCGCTAGGCTGGGAGAATATGGCTTTTGTGTTTTTAAACAGATATCTAGATATCAGCGAGGTAAGTTGTCACCTGCCAGTGTTCAGTCTCTCTGTTACAGCAGCCTACTGTCTACTATCCTATCACATCAGCATTAAGTGCCTTGATGACTGGCATGGGCAATCTTACCTTTTCGCAGCCTGAGACTCCACCAGCATGCGTTCCTTCAGTAGTAGCTATTATAAAATCATCATGATCGTCATCGATTGGTTTGTCCCTTCCACGCTGCTTCCTAAAAATTACAATACCATCTGAATGGTAGCTCTTTCCTTGTGGGTTCCAGGGCCCCATTGTGGGGAATACAAGAATAGACCCACTGACTCCTCAACAAGCATGTCCTAGGAGTAGACTATTTAAGGGCATCCTTAGAAGGTGGATACATCTGCCTGAGAGGCAAGGAACCAAGAGTCTGCATACAAATAAACCAGATCTGTGAAACGTGTGTGCAAGCAACACTCTCTGGAACAAGACTCAAGTCCAGAGGTGGGCGACCACCTTGAACACTCTGCTGGGGTTTACAGCCAGTGAATGTGAAGAATAAGAAGAAGAAGAATGGCAGACCAACAAAGCAAATCCCAGATTTCCCATGAAACCTCTAAAGAAATTATCTTCTTCTTCGCGTTCACCAGCTGTACACTCTGGCAGAAAGTTCTGGTTGTTTGTCCACTTCTGGACTGCAGTCCTGCTCCAGAACCTGAGTGTTGCATGTGCATCAGTTTTACAGATCTGATTCACTTGAATGCAGACTGTTGGTTCCTTGCCTCTCCGGCAGATGCACTCCAACTTCAAAGGAAGCTCCCAATTAGTCGACTCTTACGACACGCTTTTGGGGAGGCAGTGGGTCTATTCTTGTTTTCCCCACAATGGGGCCCCGGAACCCACACGGGGAATAAAGAAATTATTATAAAGACACCCAAAACAGCTACACAAGACAAGCCATAACCTGCAGTTTTGTGTGGATAAAGATCATCCTCATCCTTTACATCACAGAGGGCTTGCAGCTTTTTTCTCCATTCTGTTCCATCTTGTGCAGTCTTCTCAATACCACTGAAGGAACCCAGTCCAGCATCTCTGACCACTCTCACCAGTGTATGTCTTAGGATTCCTCTCAGACATCCTTGTTGCCTAAATCAGATTGCTTCTCACTTCAGTGCCCTTTTGGTGGTTGTGATTGCTTCTTCTAATCATGTACCGATTATATTTGCCATCACTGTTTTTTTTTTTAAAAATAGGGCTTCTTTATGGTCAGGTGATCGGGCTGTTTCCCTCTTCATCCAAAGGTTATTAGTTTGTTCTCAGACTAATGTTCCAACTATCTTTACTGACTCTATTTACCCATCAGGGTGTAGCAGCTAGGTGTGTGCCTCAGGCTCTGAAGGCAGTGGGTTTTTCAAAAATTACTTTGGCTCTCAGGTCGACCCAGCCTTGAGAGGGTACCAGGTAAAATCATGGGAAGTAAAGCTGGCTAGCATGACGCTGACATCACCACCCACCAGGTGCCGATTGGTCCTTAAAATACAGGTGTAGTTCTATATGTCTAAGGACCGTGTTGGTTACGATATTTTTTGCAGCAACAGAAAATGTATATGTTATCTTATCGACGACTTAAACATGGGTCATCTGAATGAGAGCACACAGGTCTTTCTTTATTCTGTATGTGGAACCTTAATTAACAAAACAAAACCCGAAAAAAGTTACTTTAGAATGCTCAAGAATGTAAGCTATATTCCTGTACAGTAATCCTTAAGTGTAATGAATGAACAAATAAATTTTGCTTTAACATTATCCCAAGTAGGTTTCAGTGCCCCATTGTGGGAAAAACAAGAATAGACCCAGTGCCTTCCCCAACAAGCAAGTCATAAGAGTCGACTAATTGGGGGTTTCCTTCGAAGTCAGAGTCACCTTGCCTAGTTTAAGGCAAGGAACCAACAATCTGCATACAAATAAGCCAGATATGTCAAATGGATGTGCACGCAACAGTCAGGTTCTGGAACAAGACTTAAGTCCAGAAGTGGATGAACAACCAGAACTTTCAGCCAGAGTTTACAGCCGGTGAACGCAAAGAAGAAGAAGAAGAGCTTTAAAATTGTTAAGAATGAGATGGTGAGTCCATTCATTTAATGTTATCCTTTACACTATTACTTTAATATTGCAGACTTCAGTGTCTGTGAAGTACCTGTTGATTTTACATTCTATTGATGTTTTAAGACTGGTTTTGCATCCTCACTTGTGTTGTAATGACCTCCCACAGGCAATGGAAGAGGGAACACTGGACATGTTAGATCATAGCGACTTCCAAGACACAGACATACCTTTTGAGATTCCAATTCCAGAGAAGCCATTTCTTACTGTAAGTTGTGTTTGTAATCTCTGTCTTGTTGTGAAGTATGTTTTTTTGACAAGAAAGAAGAGTTCCTAAATACCAGCATTATAGACAAGGTTGAAACAATACATTGAAAGACAGATAATGAAGTGGTTTGGCCATGTAGTAAGAATGCAGTCAGACTAAGCTGTATATGAGACCATCTGCAAAAAATCTGGGCAGACGGTGTGAAGAAGACCAAGGAAGAGATGGATGGGTTTGAGGTACTTGAATCCTTCAAAAAAGATTTATAAAACCATCAGTCAAGCCATTCGAGGAGCGCAAGACAAATACAGAAAAACCACGATGCTGGGCTACAACGTGATAATAGTTTGAGACAAAAGATGAAGAAGCCAGTAGAGTTGGATACAACAGTTTTATGACAATTATTTTTTTCAGCGTCAGCGTTTGTGGGTTAGGGGTAGTGAATGAGCTTCACAATGCTGGGGTGCCGGGTTCGATCCCAGCTGCGGTGATCTGTCTTGTGTTGATTTCAACAAGGGTAGAGAGCAGACAGTTTAGAAGCAATGGCAAATTACCGAACGTAAAATTTGCCTTGAAAAACCACAACATCCGAAATGTCTGGAGTTGGTTGGGCAACGTCCTGTAAAGGGTACACATCTAAAAAGGACCCTTTTCCACGCCTTTAGGCGAATAGGGCAAGACCTAAATTTTTATAGAACAATCGGCACAAGGTGGGTGATGTGGTCAGCATCATGCCGGCTGCCTTTACTTCCCAGGACTGCACCTGGTACCCACTCAAGGCTGAGTCTACCTGAAAGCCAAAGTCATTATTTTTAAAAGTCCGGCTCCACTAGTGTGCAAACCCATGACCTTTCGATCTGCAGGCGAGTGTCTAGCCGCTACGCCACGGCGATGTCCAATACATCCAATTAATGTTTGTTATTTCAGCAGGGAGTAAGCAGAGGGTTTGGGCTTTCAACATGCGGGGGAAAGGGGGGGGGGACAGGCGGACTTTCTGTCAGGGTGCAGTTGAGATCAGCAGTATAGGAGCTCTTTGTTGGCTGTTGAAGAAGGAGACAAAGAAGAAGTCCTGAATGTGCAGAGTTGTCAGTTCTTGATTCATTCATGACTTCTTCTTCTTCTTCTTTACGTCCACCGGCTGTAAACTCAACTGGAAAGTTCTGCTTGTTCGTCCACTTCTGAACTTTGGTCTTATTCCACAACTTGAGTTGTGTGTGCATATCCATTTTACAGATCAGGCTTCTTTGTATGCAGACTGTTGGTTCCTTGCCTCTCAGAAAGAAGCACTCTGCCTTCTAAGGAAACTCCCCTAATGTGCCGTGCCGCCTTGAACAGTATGTTTTTTAGGGAAGCATTGGATCTATTCAACCCCTCACCCCCCTCCCCCCCTTTCCCCTCCCTCAGTCTGAAACCCAGATGGATTTTCTTGTATATTGAAGTGCTATTCAAAAGTGTGAGCTTCTTTATTATAAGTTTTTATTAAGTTCAGTTTTGTAATTTTGTTGGTTTGTCTGGAACAGTTTTTGCATTCAGTTTTTTTGTTATGTCTTTTTAATGACATGACAGAGCCAGCAGCATGAGGAGGTGAAAGAGTGGGTTCTGGCAGTCTCTATGGACAGGAAAGTGAAACAAGACTTACCTAAGGATGAGAGAGGCACATACGAAGCTTCTCTTGTTGCTGCAGATAGTGGCATTCGTTCGTTGCCTTGTGTGGTTACAGGTCTGGATATCAAATGTTTTTGTGTATTAACTTATACAGAGACTTTTTACTTCGAGATAACATTAATTTGTATAAGAGTTTGACCATTTTACCATATTTAAAAAGCATTGTTTATTTTCTTCATGAAGTTGTATTTTTAGAAATGTTAAAAAAAAATGTCATGAATTTAGGAAAAATGTGAAGAAAATAAAGCTGTGACTGTGTGGGTGTACATGCATAGGTGTGTGTAAAAGAGCGGGGAACTTGATGGCAGTTTAATTATGAGTGCTGACATCTGACAAATATATTATGAGCGATAGCTAATTTACCTTTGTGCGCGTTAAACGTCTGATTCATGTAGACTCATTTCTGGTAGATCTTGCCAACAGTGATCTTTTTGTATGACGAAAAAGCAGCTAGTTAGTTGGTTAGTTAGTTAGTTAGTTAGTTAGTTAGTTTTAGTTAGTTAGTTAGTTAGTTAGTTAGTTAGTTAGTTAGTTAGTTAGTTAGTTAGTTAGTTAGTTAGTTAGTTAGTTAGTTAGTTAGTTAGTTAGTTAGTTAGTTAGTTAGTTAGTTAGTTAGTTAGTTAGTTAGTTAGTTAGTTGGTTAGTTGGTTAGTTGGTTAGTTGGTTAGTTGGTTAGTTAGTTGGCTAGTTGGTTAGTTGGTTAGTTGATTGGTCAGTTAGTTAGTTTAGTTAGTTAGCTAGTTAGTTTAGTTAGTTAAGTTTAGTTTAGTTAAGTTAGTTTAGTTAGTTAGTTAGTTAGTTAGTTAGTTAGTTAGTTAGTTAGTTAGTTAGTTAGTTAGTTAGTTGGTTGGTTGGTTGGTTGGTTGGTTGGTTGGTTGGTTGGTTGGTTGGTTGGTTGGTTGGTTGGTTGGTTGGTTGGTAGGTTGGTTTTTTAGTTGGTTGGTTATTTTAGTTAGTTAGTTAGTTTGGTTGGTTGGTTGGTTGGTTGGTTAGTTAGGTTGGTTGGTTGTTTTAGTTAGTTAGTTAGTTAGTTAGTTAGTTAGTTAGTTAGTTAGTTAGTTGGTTGGTTGGTTGGTTAATTAGTTAGTTAGTTAGTTGATTGGTCAGTTAGTTAGTTTAGTTAGTTAGTTGATGACACTAGTGCTGTATTTATTATTCTTCTTTGGCTATTCGAGTAGTGTTCTTGTTTGTCGACACCCGTTTAACTTGCTGTTCTTGCAGTCTGACCATGGTTGCAGATTCACAGTTCTCAGTTGGTTCCCGCACACGTCTTAAATCTCGTAGAGCATTCAGTAAATCAGTCCCAGTCCCCACATGAAAAGGCAGTATTAATGGTTAAAAAAATGCAACCTTACCCCCCCCCCCCCCCCCCCTACTCCATATGACTTGCCTAGTATATGTGAAACCATATCATCTCCTGCAGCAGTTTTTCTCATCGTATTGCCTATTATACTAAGAGAAAAAGAACATATAATTAATTATTTGCCCATTTCTTCTGCCTTAATTCCCCAGCTGGAAAGCATAGACCCTCTCTGTTTTCCATTTGTGTGCAGACTATTGGTTACTTATCTCTCAAGCAGATGCACTCTGAGCTCAGAGGAAATACCTGTGATTGATCGCCTTGCATGTCATGCTTGTTAGGGCGCTCAGTGGGTTTTTTTTTTTTAAACCCCAAAATGGGGCCCCAGAACCCTCACGTTTTTGTGTATACTGCAAAATCTCAAGTTTACAGCCATGCATGAGAGGCACACCGGACTACAAGAAGTCTTATTAATTGACACAGGACTGGCACTATTAGCCATGGGATGCTGATATATATGTTGAAAGGAAAATCTGAGCACCTATTGATGTTTCCAGAGTGCTATGAAAATAACCCAACTCACAACTCAACAGACTGTCTGCCAACTCACAACGAGTTAACGTATCCTTTGATGTTGCATGCAGCGCACACCATATCTTTCCCACTTTTTTTAAACTTTGCTCTCGAGCTCACTTCTCCATATTTATCTTGGTCTGGCTTTAGACCCTGTGGGTTCCAGTGTAAAGACACTCTAGTTACATTGTTCTCAGTTTTTCTCAGCGTTGACCTTACCAACACCAGCATCTTTTCTCACCTCTTGGTTCACCGGAATTGTTTATGTCCTATCTGTTTGGAGAAACTGATTTATTTCAGCTGTCTTGGTAACATTATTGTTTCTAAAACAGGATATCCTGTGCTCAAGAACCAAATGGAATTCAAAAATGCAAACAAAGTGGCCAACAAAGAAGACTGGAACAAATTACTGATGGCCACAAAGGTAAAAACTAATTTATATTGGCTGCTGTTTTTCTATAATATTTGAAGAAGAAAAAATGCATGGCTACTGAAAGGAGTATAATTTTGACATTCAAAATATTTATAATTTAGTGAGTGGAAATTGTTCAGACTGCACACAAAAATACCTTAGGATTCATCCAGTCAGTTGACAGCTCTTTTGCAACTAAGTCATCGCTAGATTTTAGGCGTACAGAATTTTCTGTCAACTAATAAAAAAGCAACATCAGATTACTGCTTTTTTTTTAAATTATGGCATAGTAAGGCGACATGTTGCGTGTGCATCCCTTTGAGAGATCTGACACATTTGTGTGCAGACTGTTGGTACCTTGCCTCTGAGGCAGATACACTCCAACTTCGAAAGAAGCTCCCAATTAGTCTACTCTTACGACATGCTTTTGGGTAGACAGTGGGTCTATTCTTGTTTTCCATATAATAGGGTCCCTGAACCCATACGGAGGTGAGGTTATGAACCCATACGGAGGTGAGGTTATGAACCCATACAGAGGTGAGGTTATGAACCCATACAGAGGTGAGGTTATGAACCCATACAGAGGTGAGGTTATGAACCCATACGGAGGTGAGGTTATGAACCCATACGGAGGTGAGGTTATAAACCCATACGGAGGTGAGGTTATGAACCCATACAGAGGTGAGGTTATGAACCCATCCGGAGGTGAGGTTATGAACCCATACGGAGGTGAGGTTATGAACCCATACGGAGGAGGTTATGAACCCATACAGAGGTGAGGTTATGAACCCATACGGAGGAGGTTATGAACCTATACAGAGGTGAGGTTATGAACCCATACAGAGGTGAGGTTATGAACCCATATGGAAGTGAGGTTATGAACCCATACAGAGGTGAGGTTATGAACCCATACGGAGGTGAGGTTATGAACCCATACAGAGGTGAGGTTATGAACCCATACGGAGGTGAGGTTATGAACCCATACGGAGGTGAGGTTATGAACCCATACGGAGGTGAGGTTATGAACCCATACGGAGGTGAGGTTATGAACCCATACAGAGGTGAGGTTATGAACCCATACGGAGGTGAGGTTATGAACCCATACGGAGGTGAGGTTATGAACCCATACGGAGGAGGTTATGAACCCATACAGAGGTGAGGTTATGAACCCATACGGAGGAGGTTATGAACCCATACAGAGGTGAGGTTATGAACCCATACGGAGGTGAGGTTATGAACCCATACAGAGGTGAGGTTATGAACCCATACGGAGGTGAGGTTATGAACCCATACAGAGGTGAGGTTATGAACCCATACGGAGGTGAGGTTATGAACCCATACGGAGGTGAGGTTATGAACCCATACGGAGGTGAGGTTATGAACCCATACAGAGGTGAGGTTATGAACCCATACGGAGGTGAGGTTATGAACCCATACGGAGGTGAGGTTATGAACCCATACGGAGGTGAGGTTATGAACCCATACGGAGGTGAGGTTATGAACCCATACGGAGGTGAGGTTATGAACCCATACGGAGGTGAGGTTATGAACCCATACGGAGGTGAGGTTATGAACCCATACGGAGGTGAGGTTATGAACCCATACAGAGGTGAGGTTATGAACCCATACAGAGGTGAGGTTATGAACCCATACAGAGGTGAGGTTATGAACCCATATGGAGGTGAGGTTATGAACCTATACGGAGGTGAGGTTATGAACCCATACGGAGGTGAGGTTATGAACCCATACGGAGGTGAGGTTATGAACCCATACGGAGGTGAGGTTATGAACCCATACGGAGGTGAGGTTATGAACCCATACAGAGGTGAGGTTATGAACCCATACAGAGGTGAGGTTATGAACCCATACGGAGGTGAGGTTATGAACCCATACGGAGGTGAGGTTATGAACCCATACGGAGGTGAGGTTATGAACCCATACGGAGGTGAGGTTATGAACCCATACAGAGGTGAGGTTATGAACCCATACAGAGGTGAGGTTATGAACCCATACAGAGGTGAGGTTATGAACCCATACGGAGGTGAGGTTATGAACCCATACGGAGGTGAGGTTATGAACCCATACGGAGGTGAGGTTATGAACCCATACAGAGGTGAGGTTATGAACCCATACGGAGGTGAGGTTATGAACCCATACGGAGGTGAGGTTATTCACAGGAGAAGATTTATGACTGGATAGTGGGAAGTATCCACATGCTGAAAATGATAAATGAGAAAGAAATTTGTGATACAGCAACATGCATGAATCAGGAAACAGTAAATTCTTCTTCTTCTTTCGTTCGCCTGAAATAAGTTATCTATATCAGCAGTTTTGTCTCTTGTATAAATTTCACTGTCGTTGTTAGTTCATTCAGTGGTCCATAGAGTTTAAGTTCCACTGTTCTTTCTGGCCAAAAGGTTTGCCCTTAATGTGTCAAAATCGGTGCAGTCCTGGAGTACATGCTCTGCGGTCTGGGGCACATTTCCACAGGTGCACATGGCTGATACACCTATCTTGAATTTTGTGTACATGTGGTTACGTAATCGATGGTGCCCTGTTCTGAGGCGGAAGATAATGACTTGTTTTGGTCTGTCCATAATAAAATAGTCGTCTTGTGCTGGGGCTGGTGGTTTCCTGATCGATTTAATGATTCTTTTCTTTTGGTGGTATGTGACTGGTACATCTGGCTGCTCTTTTGTCGCACCTTCCCCTGCCAGTTGATCAGCTTTCTCATTTCCAGGCACTCCACAATGAGACGGTATCCACTGCATTACGACTCTTCGCTGAACGCTAAGTTGTGTCAGCAGTGTTTGCAATTCTGGTAGTTTCCTAGACTGGAGTGCTTCAAGTACTGATTTTGCATCTGTAAGCATTACCACATACTGTGAGCCAAGGTTTATATCTCCAAGTCATTGCTGATTATTCTTTGAGGGGAATGGCAAGCAGTTTGGGACAGTCAAGCTATCTGGTATTGTTGTGTATTGTTAATTTGATGACTTGCTTTTCATTGGTTTCATTTCTGTAGCCACAATAATGTCAGGGGATTAACTCTTTCAGTCCAAAGCAGTTATTACTTATTACTGAAGAAACTGCCAGTCAAAATGGACGCTAGGCATGTTAACTATTTTTAATTGTGGCAAATGTTTGGCTTTTGACAGACAATGGCCGTTGCATTTTCTTTCATCTGTAGACTGAAAGGAAATAGTTTTGTCGCCCAGCTACTGAGTTGAGTGCATGATGCGACACTGTGAGCTACGGATTTAATTTGGAATGGTTTTTTTTTACTGCTGTGACTAACGTAGTATTGTGAACTGTAGATTAATAAAATGGCGGGTGGCCTGTTGCCACAGAATTGGTGGTGCCTTATGTGATTGAAATTTATTGTGTGTGCAACTGCTCATGTGTTTGCAACTGCTGCTTCTGTCGATGATGAACTGCATTTCTAATGTCGGACTGTTTGTGTTAGCACTTCTGATGGCTGCTTATGCTTTTAATTTGTGAGTATGCTCGTGGATATGCTGAGACTGCAGTCTGTGTCAATTGTTCCACAAGGGGCAGTGATGTACATACATTTTGTGTGTTTTCGTTGACACAGGAGTGAAGCAACTATGGGGTGACCCATTTACTATTAAGCTGAAACTATGATTACCAGATTACCAGTTATTATTTAAATTCCATCTGTCCCAAAGAGTTGATTCTAGAAACGATAAATACTTATGTACGATGTTGTTCAACAAAAACATTTTATTCCATCTGTCTCAAAGAGTTTATTTTAGAACGGATAAATACTAATGTATCATGTTGTTCAACAAAAACATTTTATTCCATCTGTCCCAAAGAGTTGATTTTAGAAACAATAAATGCTAATGTATGATGTTCAAAAAAGAGACTACAAGATTTTTTTTTAAAAACACTTAAACTAATAGTTCAGACTGATCACTTGATTGGTCAGTTTGTTTCCTCCAGGCTGCTTCTAAAAGGTCTACCATACCTTCTTGAGATTAAAAACATCCCAATCTTGACATAATAAATCACCTTTTACTACGTGCTTGTAAGTAAGGCAATCGTTCTGTTCCCACCCCCCGGACCCCCAAATGGTTCCTGGAACCCATACGGGGAGATCCACCCTAAAATGGATACTCAAAAAGTTATATGGGAATAACAGTTGGCTAGTGTTTTTAACTTGGAGCCGCTGTGGTGTAGCTAGGTGCTCGCCTGCAGATCCAAAGGTTGTGGATTCAAATCTGAACGGAGCCGAGCTTTTGTGTTTGACCTGGCTTCCAGGTTGACCCAGCCTTAAATGAGTACCAGTTAAAGTCTGGGAAGTAAATGTGGCCAGTGTGATGTTGATCATATCATCCACTGAGTGCCAACTGGGAGTGCCGATTATAAAATATAGGTCTAGTACTTTATGCCCAATATGCCTGGAGGCATGGAAGAGGGTTCTTTTTTAACTTACCTAACAACAAATTCTCTCTCTCTCTCTCTCTCTTGTTGTACCTCACCAGGACATCACACAAGCAATAAACACCCGGTGACACAAAGTGCCACCATGCGGATAAGGATCACCCGTGGAGAGGTTCCGGAAACCCTGTTCAGCCGTTAGGCCATATTTATGGCCCGGCTATATTCAGGGCCCTCAGAAAAAGCTAGGGTGGGGCTTCAAATAACGAAAAACTTCATCCCACATGGAGACGACTATCACGTCACAAAACAACAAATAAGAATGTAGGCAGAATAAACTTGTATTTTAAAACTTTATTATTTTCGCATTCAACAAATGTATTACAGTGATAATTAATCGTTCCCATTCTGCTGTCCCAGGTGTCACACAGCACAGAGCTCCAGGATGTTCTGAAGTTCATTGCCACTTGGTGTGGCACCAGTCCCAGCTTCTCGTTCCAGTGATGTTGCTGTTGAAAAATGTTGAAGTAAATTATTTATAGTTTGCAAATAGCATCAGGGTTTTCTTGTCTGTTTATATCTACTTAGCCAGCAATTTTAGTGAATATATTTTAGGATTGACCTTTGACATTTTTTAAAGAGATTTAGCAGTGAAATTTATGTTCAGAATTTATGATGTGACCTAATTAGTCATTTTTAACTCTTTCCGTCCCGGGAGGGTTTAGCATCAGAGGCCCAAGGGGTGGTCAAAAGAGACTTAAAAATTGGCGCATCCTGCGTTCATTGGGCTTCTAGGTATGAACCTATGAACGTTAGATGCGTTCCTTGGGAATGAAAGAGTTAATTATATGCTCATGAGCTGGGCAGTGAATCTGTTCTTGTCTTTCCCTAAAATGGGGCCCCAGAACCCACACAGGGACATTATAAACCATACAATCTGTGATATACATTCCGTCCTGCTTTAATATGTATATGATGCTCATCGCTGTATTTATCCTATTGGTATTTTGTCTAAACTTATGCGTAGCTGAAGAGCTCTTATCTAACTTTAGAGCTGAACAATATGTCTGGAGGGGAAGTATGGAGAATAACTAAGGCAGTTAATAAAAAATACTACAAACATTCATTTAACTGGTGCCTGCGCAGAATAGAGGGAAGTAAATGGTATGACAGAATCACTAATGTAGAGCTTCGGGAGAGAACTAAACAAGTTCCAATAGACCAAAAGGTGAAGAAATTACACTGGATTGGACACACATGTAGAGAAAACCTGATAACTAGAATGTCTTGGCACTGGAACCCACAGAGGCATAGAAATAAAGGAGGACCAAAAAAACAAATGGATTAGCGAGCTAGAGAGTCAAGTTAAAAAGATGGGGAGGGCATAGGGAGAGCTGCATGCAATAGCAAAGGATAGAACGACTTGGGGGGGGGGGGGGGGGGGGGGGGGGGGTAAGTTGGGGGCCCTGTAAGTTGAGGCCCTGTGCTCCATTGGGGGCTAGAAGGCAGAATAAGAAGAAAAAGCTGCTACATATGTCTTCTTCTTCTTCTTCACGTTCACCAGCTGTAAACTCTGGTGGAAAGTTCTGGTTGTTTGCCACTTCTGGACTGCAGTCCTGTTCCAGAACCTGAGTGTAGACTGTTGGTTCCTTGCCTCTCACTTCGAATTAGTTCCCAATTAGTCGACTCTTACGACATGCTTATGGGTAGGCAGTGGGTCTGTTCTTGTTTTCCCTATAATAGGGCCCCGGAACCCACACGAGGAGGCTACATATTTAAATCTAGTATGACTGCACGTCAGCCCTACAGGCCGCACAAAGAGAACCATGAGATAACATGGAAAGGGAGATGACCTGCCTGCTCAACAAACTCTCAAGAGACCAACCAGGTTGTCCTGTAGTTGATCCCAGCCCACTGTGCCATAGCAGGAAGTTATATGGCTGATAAACTGTTCAAAGAGTGAAGTGAAATAATTAAAGGGCCCTATTCCGTGCCTTCAGCATACCATACAATGTTTAATATGCTGCAGAGTTCAAGAAATTCTATTTTAAAATCAGATTCTTTAGCCATACGCCAACTTAATATGACGATGTGCCAAACCCGTGACTTAAGAGTTATTGCTCCTGTGGTTTATTAAATACACAACACAGGGATGTAATGACATATTTAGTTTGCAAGGGATATAACTCCAGCAGAATGTAACTTCGAGTGATAGTTATTATGCAAAAATATTCCTAAGCCATGGTTGCAAATTTAACCGTTTTTGTGAAGACTGTAGCCAGAACAGTACTTGTAAGTGTAACCCATCTGCACTTCATCGTTTGGGAGCAGTCCGCGTGATTGCAAGTTTTCCAACAAACACAAGGATTTTGTGTTTTATATTTATATGGGTTATGACGGCAACATCGCAGACACAGGAAACATCAGGACCTCCATTTCATATCAAAAAATAAGGTGAAGACACTAATCAAAGAGAAGCACAGAAACTCCTGAGACAGAAACAGACAGCAGGACACTGCTGACTTAATGCATAGAAGGAAGGCTGCACAATCCACCCAGAGTCCCTGTCAAACTGTACTCCAGACATCTGATAGTGTAAATGCAGAACTGCCTCCCACTGCAAAACCTGGAGAAAAAAAACATGGCCAGAGAGAAAAGGCATCCAGGATCAACTTTCGGCAACCCTTGGAGACTTGTTGCTGACTTGCCAGGTCATGGAGGCAACATGATTAATAACCTCAGCTTTTGAAACCGATCACAGGAAAGAAGTATTTTGTCTGTGAGTATAAGTAAAACAGTGAAGAACCTGTCTCCATCCCTTGTGGCTTATTAGACATATGGTGCTACCCCCATTCATATAAATTCACTGCTACTCCATAGGGGATATGATCATACTGGCTGCTTTTACTTACTGAGAGATTGCCTGGTAGCTGTGTAGGCTACACTGACCTTGGCTGCTTTTACTTACTGAGAGATTGCCTGGTAGCTGTGTAGGCTACACTGACCTTGGCTGCTTTTACTTACTGAGAGATTGCCTGGTAGCTGTGTAGGCTACACTGACCTTGGCTGCTTTTACTTACTGAGAGATTGCCTGGTAGCTGTGTAGGCTACACTGACCTTGGCTGCTTTTACTTACTGAGAGATTGCCTGGTAGCTGTGTAGGCTACACTGACCTGGGAAGTAGGTGGGGGGGGGGCAGATCTCACACTATACATGTTCAGTTCAATTTGTTATATCTACTATTCCAATTATACAAGCTCGGTTTATTAATTGTTTTGTTAACTGCTTCCAAGCTCAGTTTTTATTGATTACATTAATTGTTCCTGTTCTATATGAGTTTATATTTTTAACATTAGTATAATTATTGTTTTTACTTTATCAGCGATCAGTTTCAGTACGTTATGTGATTTGTTCCTATCATGACTATGTGTAAATTGATATTCATGTTTACGGTTTTTCTATTATCAATAATAAAAACGTGACAACCATTATAACCAATTTGTGATTGTATTTCTTCATGATTCTTACCCTTGACTTCTTCACTAATAGAATAAAGGACCATTTTCCACGTCGTCGGGTTTATTGGGCATATAGGGCTAGACCAGTATTTTATAGACCACTTTGCACTTGCTGGGTGATGTGGTCAACATCCCCTGGCTGCCTTTACTTCCCAGGACTTTTACTTAGTACCCACTTAAGGCTGGGTCAACCTGGGAGCCAAGGTCATTTGTTTTTAAAAAGTCCAGCACCGTCCGGATTTGAACCCACAACCTTCGGATCCACTGGCAAGCATCTAGCCACTGCACCATGACAACTCCCCCATAAAAGGAATAACTGCTAACAATTTAATGTCACATGACAAAGCAAGCCATGCGAATAAATAATGTTTCTTGAAGTCCCAGGCAAGCACTTCAACTCATTTTATTCTCTAAGAAGTCGTCAGTGAAGCTAAACATACTGAGGTTCTCCTTCCTCTTCTTCTTCTCTTCCACCTTGTGCCTCATCGAAGTGTCGGGGGGAGATGTAATGTTCGTTGATGAGCTCTGTCAAGAGCACTATTAAGACATGTTCATTTCTGTAAGGCTGTTCTTAATGCCATCACTCCATATTTTCCGAGGTCTTCCACTCGCTCTATACCCGTTGTAACGTTTTAGTGTGGCTCGCTGTGGCGGATAGTACCAGGGCATTCTTGTTAGGTGTCCAAACCACTTCATTTGTTGTTCTTTGATGACCTGTAAGACTGGCTTTTTTCCTAGCATTCGTCTGATTTCATGATTTCGTATTCTGTCTTTCCTTGAAACTCCTGCAGCTCTTCTAAGGCATTTCATCTCTGTTGTCACAATTTTACGTTCATTAGAGGATGTAAGTGTCCACATTTGGCATTGATAGCATAGTGTTGGCCAAAAAAATAGTTCTGATATGATTCACTTTAGTACTCTGAGGTATCTGCTTGTGTGTCAACAGGGGAGATAGTTGATCCATTACTTGATTAGCTGAGGTCCTGTTTGGTCAAAATAATAACACAGTGAGACGAGGAGATACCATATCAACTGCTAAAGAAGGGATAAGGGATTACTGTACAAACTCAAGAGTGCAAGGAGTGTAGGAAAGTATATCAAGTGGAAAACCAACAAACACACAGTGGTTTGCTCGGTACCGAATGAGTAAAAGCATTTCTTCTTCCTAAAGTTCATGGGGTGTGGCGTTGGTAGTCATGTCTGTCCACAACCTTCTGTCTCATGTACTTTCAATCAACTCTGACACAGATGATCCTCCATGCATGATGTCAGAGGTTTACCACACCATCCTCACTCTGACTGACAGACCAACAAGACAAATCCCAAATAGCCTGTTCAACCTCCACAGAAGTTATAATTAGGGTGCCCATAAATACTAAACCAGCCTGGTTAATTGTCAATTCCTGATGATAAAAAATTCCAAACTTTCTCGACGTTCAACCACCCGAAGGCCTGTTATTTTGTAGAGTGGTCCTTAGCTCTCTTATTCGGGTTCCGATTCTTTGTGGTGAGCAGTTACACCTGAATTCCTTTTCTTTATCCTCTTTGTCAGGTGTGGTCTTTTGGGTCCTGGTTTGGTCTGGTTTTCTTTTCCCTCTGTTCCTGTGAGGTTTTGCTGTTTCTTTGCTGGTGCTTGGCTTGCCGTGCATCGGTCGCTGAGCTGGTGCTTAAGTTACATGTGCTAAGTTTCTCAGTAGGGTGTAAATTGAAGTCCAAGGTACTGAGCCCTTTGTAGCACTATTGACCGGCTTTTATACGTACTGTTGTGGCAACTTACAACTGCCACAAACAACACGTAGAACCAGTTACAAATGATACATAGTCCAGATATTTAACCGGTAACATCTAAAATCACGTACTGGCAAGTCACCAGTAGCGTTTATAGCAGCGGTTCTGAACCTGTGGTTTGCGACCACTTTGGGGGTCGAACGACCCTTTCACAGTGGTGCCTAACCATCGAAAAAAACCATATTTACTGAAGTTATG